CTCTCCACCTATCTGCTCCTTTATCCATCTTCCATCCGCCTCTCTCTCTCTCTATTTCAGAATCCCCTTCCCCTACCCCTCCCCCATTTCTGAAGAAGGGTCCAGACCCAAAACGTCAAAAAGCTTTCCCGCTCCTCTGATGCTGCTTGGCCTGCTGTGTTCATCCAGCTCTACACCTTGTTATCTCTGAAAAAGAAAGCTTGTTTGTACGTATAATTTTTGGCCCATCTATATATTTGAGTCTCAATGATCTGAATTGTGACTACAAAGCAAAAACAGACATATGGTATTATGGTAAACGCGAGCAGCTGCTTAAAAAGTTTGACAGAAGAGTTAGATAGCACTGTCCTAATTCGAACATTCCAGTCAACCAGTGGAAGTTGCAAACATTTAGATCATCAACCAGGTAAACATGGTCCAGGCACAGGAAGTTTATTTTCTATGTAAGATGCAGCCAGACAGTCACCTTTTGAAGACTAGTTTGAAAGATCCTGTAAGTCTGTTAATGGTTTTTCGTGAGTGGATAAGTTTAATTAATTTGATGGGTCAGATGAGAAACCATTAAAATTCAACGACTTAAATTAACGTAAAATTCTGCTCAAGCCAGAAATCTGAAGCATGAACAGGAAGTGCTGGGATAAACTTCAGCAGGTTGACTCCATCGTGGAGAGAAAACCCGTTTGAAAGATTTTAGTCCAACGTGGCTCTACAGACCACATCCTTGTGGTCATGGGTAAGGGCTGACCATGTAGGAATGACAATTTAGAGTCAGGAAGGCTGTAATGAAACATTTTTTTTAATTTTTTGACATAAATTATTCCACGATCGATATGAACGAGACTTCTATTTTCTTCCAGAGAAAATAGTCAATTGATTTTTCTTTTCATTTACCCAGCTTGCGTGTCAGGAATTCAATTCATGCTTCTGAGCCTTTGTTCGTAATTCTTGATAATTTTCCAGGAATTCATGTTTCTGCTCTTTCAATATGTGCATTCCTGTAAGAGATTTCTGGACCTCTGACTTTTATTAGATAGTATTTCTTTTTCACATGTGATCTTTACTTATTCAATTTGTCATCCTAATGCACTTTAATTCAGCTTCGTTGCCATTTGTATTATAATTTTGTCATGGGGCAGGCACACACTTATATTTCTTTTTTATTTCTCACATCCCTATTTATCTTTTTCGCTCTTCATTTCATGTGATTGTTGTTGTTGCTGAAACATATCCTGAACATTTGTAGTAATTTAGCTCGACTGCAACAAAACACCTCCTTTTAGAAATTACTTGTCCAATAACAGTCATATGCAAAGATATCTATCCAGAAGTCATCTAAATGTCGGGAAGAGTTTTTAAGCCAGATATTCGTCACCTTTTTTTTTTTAATTTGTATTGATTTCTTGATTAGATGTTTCCCTATATTAACAGAACAACATTCATCCACATGCAAATATAATCTATTCATATAATTCATGTTGGTATGACTTAATTATGTCAGATTCATCACTGTGTTGAAATAAATCAAGACGTCGAAGTTTGTGTGAGTCAATGGTATTAGCAGTAATTTCTGTCCAAAATTCATTAACTTTTATCACTACACTATTAGTGCACAATCTTCCTTCCGTAGAACTAAGATTAGAAGAAAAATGCACAGATCCCAGTCAAATTCCTCGAGAAGATATTTTATAGAGGGTGTGAAAAACACGCTAAAGTGACAAAACTTTCAGCTTCAAATATCTAATACCTTTTCTAAGGCAAAGTATTGCCACTTTTTGTTTAATTTGCGGTAAATATCTGCACAATCAGATCCCAGTTGGCATAGACCCTGATGTGAAGACGATTGATCTGATCTGTACAAGTGTTTTTACTAACTTGAGATACTTGGTGGGGCAGTTTAGAAGTACTTTTGCAACAGGTTTTCGTCTATGTTTCTTTTCCCGCCCATCTAAGCTTGAAGGCTCTTCAGGATAATCATTCAGTATTTCAGAAACTATGGGAAATATCAAGAATGAGCTTTCCTATGTAAAAAATGGTCCAACAATATAATAAACAATATAATCTTTGTCTTATCTAAATGCTACTGTTCATGCTCTTGCACAACTTCTTGAACAGCAACACAGTAGTCTTCAATACAGCTAACGATTGAATTTACTTAAATAGTATATAAAGCAACATTATAGAGGCGACTATAATCAGCATAAACACAGTTCAGACCTGTCGTTAATGTGTTTCATTAGGACTTTGTAGAACTAACATTGTCTGCACCTATATGTGGTGTAGCCGTTTGTATAGGTTCTCACTATGTAAACATGTGCTTGCTTTGCCTTGCAAGGTTATGTGGGTTTTATGTTGCATGCATCATCTATGACGAATTCTTTGAGTACTTGTTTCTGGATTGTTCAATGGAGCAATGCGAAGATATTATTATCTACCAATTGTTGTGCCCGTTGATGTTGCTTAGGTCCAAGTGCACTCAGTTTTATTGTGTGTGTGTGTGTGTGTGTGTTGGTTTCCATGCACATGCATGTGATTGTTTCTAGAGAGGCAGAGGTTTTCTGTAAGGCATAACACAGAGAAAGGAAGGAAATCTTTAAGAGAGTGGTAATTACGAAATTGATGAAATTTGTTGTTTTTGCGTGAGGCACAGGGTCCCACGCTTCACGGGAAGGACAGTTCTGCGGAGAAAGAGAAAGCCAGACAAAGACTTAGAGTGGCAAACTATCATAGACCGAGTACAATTGAGTTTTTCTTCGGTGATAAAGATAAATGCAGCGTGTTTCTTGTATGTTAATGAAACCAAGAAATATTAATTGCGTGCTGCTATTAATTTGACAACTATTTATGGCTAGTCAGAAGCTAAAGTTAACAGGTGTTGTAAAGAAGAATGAAGTACATGATAAGTGGGATGGGATGAGTTGAAAAAATAGGTGCCAAGGAGTGTACTGAGGACGCTGAATTAATAACTGGGGACATTTGGTAGTTTGGAAATGTTTGATGACATTTCGTCGATAAAAATAAAAATAAAAATTTTCGATAAAGTTGGAGAGAAAAAAAAATAATAAAGATATTTGTGGCTCGGTTAAACTGAGAAATTTTGATTGAGAAAGACCAATGGTCAGAGAGTGATATTAAAGCAACAGAACTCGACATCTTTTTTTCATTACAAATAGAAGACACGTACAGAAATATTGAGGGACAGAAAACATGAGCAGTCATCTAGATATGCTCAAATTAGCCAGGACCAGTTTGAAGTGGTGGTCTTTCTGTGCTGTAATTATCTTGGAATTTAATCATCTATAATCATGATCTGTGCATGAGTTTGAAGTGAGTTGCTGAAATGGATCTATACAAAGTGTCCATTCGGCAGGTCATGAACTGGGATCTTAGAAAACTTAAGAGTAATGAGCCAAATGTTAAACCACAAACATAACAACATACTTCGTTAATTGTCGTTTTTTTTTCCCATGATATCACTTGATTCTGGTGCAACAATGTGAATGGCATTACAGAGTTAAAAAGAAATGTAAAGTTACATTGATGTAGTGGAAACAATAGGACCATCTCTGGGTCAGTTTCTGTTGTTTTGCTTGTTAGTTATTTGAAAAACGGTATTAACTGGATATTTAATTGCCCTCATAAATTGTTCCCTGAACTGAGATTGAGTCAAAGCATAAATAAATGTGTTTGTGCAGCAATTTAAACTCAGTAGCATAACACCAGCTTGTTGAAAAATGTACAAAGAATCCTCATAACGTTCCGGATTTGTTGTTGTGATGTTGTAATATATAAAATGCAACACATACGTCAACCAAAGAAGTATAAAGCTGCCAGATATACTTAGAAGTAAAATAATAGACTTCCTCCTATTCGCCATCTTTTCATCAATGCGATTTCCTCCCTTGGTCTGATGCCTCAACTTCTTACGCACACGACTAGCTATTACAATATACCTAATCGTCAAACAATTGAACAATGAAATTAAAGCAAAAGGCAGTACTGGGGTTAAAATTGTATCCATCCAGTCAAAACCTACCCATCCAGGTTCAGTATAATAGCTTGACTTTGAATAACAGAACCATGGCACGTTGTCGATTATCTCTCCAGGTTCAAAAGTAAAGTAAAAAGGGACGTTTTTAAAGCATAATAGTATGCAGGTTATTGCTAAAACAGCAGTTGCATTTTTTTCCGTGCAATATTTGATTCTCAGCTTTTGGAAACAAATGGCAACAAATCGATCAAAAGAGAAAGTAACCGTGAACCACACAGAGCAGTCTCTGGCTGCACATGTCAAGACGTAGATAACACTGCATACAGGAGTGATGTCCAGGAAGGATCCTGGGAAATAATAATAGCTTATCCTCCACAATATGATGTCAGTGACTATAACCAGCAGATCTGCCACTGCCATATCCACCAAGTAACGTGTAGTACAGCCGGAGAGACCACATTTTGCCCGGGACAAGATTGCAATAGCCACCAAATTAACTGTGGAAAAGAAATATAGAAGGTGATGGACAGGAAATTATTGAACAAAGTTCTTTTTGTTTAAATGCAGATGAGACTGGATTCCAGTATTCACTAAGGATTAGGTTTGTTTTTGTTTACATGCTAAAATATAAACCATCTTAAACCTGATGCTAAAATATATCCATTTTTATGTCTTCCAGAGAATTATGCAGGCAAGAAACAGTTCAGACATTTTCAAGATACTGCTGAATCTAGCAAATGATTGTCAAAAATTCTTTGCAAACTTACTTTTATTGAAAGTTTCAGATCACCTGTGCATCATCAAATTAGAGAATGAACTCTGTTAGAAATCAAACAGTATGATACTGGTGGTTCTGATGAACTCGTCCCTGACAAAGAAACCTAATTATTCCAATGAGGCTGACTTATATAATTATAGAGTCGCACAGCATGAAAATAGATCCTTCCGTCCAACTCATCCAAGTGGACCACAAACCCCAATCTAACCCAGTTCCACTTGCAATGATTTAGCCCATATCCCTCGAAACCCTTCCTATGCATATACTCATCCAGGTGCCTTTTAAATGTTGCAATTAAACCCGCCTCCACCGTTTCCCCTAGCAGCTCTTCCACACATGCGCTACCTGATGTGTTAAAAAGTCACCCTCAGGTCCTTTTTTAAATCTTTCCACTTTCATGTTAAACATATGCTCTCTATTTTTGGACTCAATGACTCCAGGAAAAGGACTATGGCTATTCACCCTATTGATGCCCCTCATCATTTTATACACCTCTATAAGGTCACTCCTCAGCCTCTGACACTCCATGGAGAAAAGCCCAGCCTATTCAGCCTCTTCTAACAACTCAAATGCTCCAATCCCAGCAACATCCTTGTGATTCTTTTTTGAACTTGCTCAAGTACAACATCTCACCTATAGAAGGGCAACCATAATTTTACAAAGTATACTAAAAGCAGCCTCATCAATATCAAGTAGTTGGAGGGCATTCTCAGAGATAGAATTTGCATGCATTTGAAAAGGTAAGGACAGTGCGGGGAAAATCTGGTCTCACTAACTTGATGAACCTTTTTAAAGAGGTGACAAAAAAAATTGATGAAGGCAGAACTCTACACATTGTCTAAATGTATTTCAGCAGAGTTATCGATAAGGTTCTGCATGGTAGACTGGATAGTAAGATTAGGTCACTTGGAATCCAAAGGGAGCCAGCGAATTGGATACAAAACTGACTTGAAGGTAGGAGACAAAGGGTGGTGGTAAAGGATTGCTTTTCAGACTGAAGGCCTGAGACCGATGGTGTTCCAATAGAATCGGTGCAGGGTCTACTGATTTCCAACATTTATATAAATGATTTATATGTGAGTGTAGGAGGCATGGTTATGAAGTTTACAGACAACACAAAAATAGATGGTGTAAGAAGATTATTTCAGAGTACAACTGAACATTGATTGGATGGGCCAATGGGCTGAAGAGTAACAGATGGAGTTTAAGTTAGATAAATGTGAGATGTTGCTTTTTGAAAAGGCAAACCAGGGCATGACTTACATTTAATGTTTGTGACCTGGGGAATGCTGACTGTGAAAAACACCTACGGGTGCAAGTGCATAGTTTCTTGAAAAACTGGAGGGATTCCATTCAGGGTCAAAGCAAGTATATGTTAGAGGCAAACATGCATGTGTCTTACATATTGGCTATGATAAGTAACTGTTCGAAGAAAACATACAGAGACCGATATAAATCCGTGCAGAATGGTGAAACAATGAAGCACTTTCATAAATAAAGGGATTTTTGGCCAGATTATCTTTTAACAGAACTGATAAATTTCTGAAGAAGGGTCTCGACTCGAAACGTCAGTTTTCCTGCTCCTCTGATGCTGCTTGGCCTACTGTGTTCATCCAGCTCTAGACCTCGTTATCTATGATAAATTTCTTCACGATTAGCACTTCTAAAACAATAACAAATCATAGAAAGTCACAGTAAGATGAAGGGAATTATAAAAATAAGTTGGTGATTGGATAATGGGTAGGTTTAATTCGTTGATGGAAGCAGTCATGGATCATTATAATTGAGGTAGTTTTGGAAACAGATGCTGCTGATACAAATTTGACACAAAAGGCCGCGATTGCTGAAATATGATTCAATAGTTTAAGATATGCCAAAAGGGTACTAATGTGACATAAATTAGAAGGTAAGTTTGCAAGTAAAATCTAAGATTGACCAAAACTGCTGAAGTACTTTCGAGAAAAGGTAATAAAGGTTATTTGGATGATTGTAAGCAGATGGATCGATGCTGAATGTTATTATTAACAGAATAAAGCAGAAAATACCTCAAAATTAGACTTAGTTGCAATTGTCTAAAACTATTGAGTAACTTTTCAGAGAAAGTAAACAAAGGTTCTGTGTATAATTTTGGCAGGTGGATCTACGGGGAACGTTATTATCAACAGAATAAAGCAGAAAACATCTTACAAAGGACTTAACAAAAACAAGAGTGATGTAATAACTTACCAGGAACGCCAATGACTGCAAGAATCATGTAGTATACTTTCTTGATATTGGGAACTGTGTCCATTTCTGCTTCTACGATGCGAACTGTCTTTATTCCTGACTGTCTGTGAAGTAACCTTTCGAATGAGGGATACCAAATACTTTCCATTTATACCCTCGAGAGTCTCCATGGGGACAATAAATTGAAGCATTACAAAGTTATGATTTTATGAACAAATGGATGCAACACTATTTATAAACATCACTGTTGGAGAAAAATGTTTAATTCGGTGAATGAACTTGGGTCCATAATATATTTAAAATTCATTTCATTTGGTCCTCTGATCAGTATGCATAAATCACGTGGTGTCCTTTCCTCAAAACGAATTCAGTTCGTCGGTTTCTGGCTGTTTTGTTTATCTGTATATCTTCAGTTCATTAATTAAAATTTTGAATGAGTATCACTAGATATCCGAAGTAAGTTAACACAGGAATGTACATGAGTATAGCCTGATGAAATTAAATCAATGTGGTGTACAGGCCTTTTCACTGTCATCGCCTCTCCAAACAACAGAATGGCAATCTTGTTCAGTTTCATAGGCAAAGAAAATTCGTTAGCTAATAGCGGTTTGAAATGCATCGCATCAAGCCAACATGGCACCCAAATAAAGCAACATCTCAATTGAGGAGAGATTCTGAGATGAACAGAAGAGTTCGAACTAGAAGAGGCACTAAAATTAAAGTAAGAACACAGCCATGGTCTTTGATATGGTACCATAGTTGCAGAGGATTAGATAGGGTGGACAGTGGGAGCCTTTTTCCTCGATGGTGATGGCTAGCACGAGGGGACATAGCTTTAAATTGAGGGGTGATAGATATAGGACAGATGTCAGAGGTAGGTTCTTTACTCAGAGAGTAGTAAGGGCGTGGAATGCCCTGCCTGCAAAAATAGTAGACTCGCCCACTTTAAGGGCATTTAAATGGTCATTGGATAAACATATGGATGATAATGGAATAGTTTAGGTTAGATGGGCTTCAGATTGGTTTCACAGGTCGGCGCAACATCGAGGGCCGAAGGGCCTGTACTGCGCTGTAATGTTCTATGTTCTATGTTCTATATCCTTAGAGAACATAAACTTTCCAACAGCTAAAAAAATCTCGAACTATTCCGGCCACTCAAAGTAATACAAAAGTTACAGCATCTGAAAGGAATACAAGGCATAACACAAATAATTTGACTTCATCTGTCACCTAACTATTTGCTTCTACTCCATACTGCATCTTGTAATTTACCACAATCCAGATAAAACTCATGAGATAATGACCACTTGTGAATTAGTGCTACCTAGCGATGTTGTGGCTTGATCTGATTCATCTTCAAGTGTGAGCTCTGGCAAGGACACTTTTTTTTTCCTTTGCATTAGAATTTAACTGATGGGAAATATTGTAGTGAATAGATTTCCGACCATTCTCTGCAATTACACTAGTACTAAGCAAATCTGTATCAGGGTAACTGATTTTTTTAATTTAATGTACAGTTCTTGATCTCCTCTGCACATTCGTCTCACATTCATGCTGCTTTACCCACCAGTTACCTTCAGACCTATGTATTACTCTGAAAAAATGTAATATTCTGTCTTGAGCTTCTTGTTGCTCCTTTTGTTTTAGCTATTGCCAAAAAGGTTCTGCCTTTGCTGCTACTGAGGCATTATTTAGAGTTGTACCGTAATATAGCATGGAAACTGACGCTTTGGGCCAAACTGGTCCATGCTGCCTATGTTGCCCACTCAACTAGTTCCGATTTTCTGCATTTGGTCTATATCCCTCTAAAACCTTCTGGTAACCCATTCTATATATGCACCACTGTCTGCATGAAGAATTTGCATCTCCGGTCCTTCTTCAACTATTTTCCTCTCACCTTAAACCTACGCCCTCTAGTTTTCAATTCCCGATCCCTGGGGAAAAGACTATGAGCATTCATCCTATCTATACCCCTCATGATTTTACACACCTCATTACGGTCACCACTCATTATCCTATGCTCCAAGGAGTAACGTCCTTTCCTGGCCAACTTATTCTTATAAATCAGGCCTACTAGTCCTGGTAACATCCTCGTAAATCTTCTTTGCGCACTTTCCAGTTTAACTATGTATTTCCGATAAAAGAGTGACCAAATCAGTGCACAATACTCCAAGTGTGGCCTCACCAGCAAGTTATACAAATGTCATATAACGTATCAATTCCTATACTCAATGCCTCATCCGATGAAGGCCAGCATGCTAAATGCCTTCTTCACTATACTGTCTCCCTGTGATGCCGTTTTCAACAAACCTTGTACTCCTAGGTCCCTCTGTTCCCAAAACTCCTCAGGATCTCACCATTCACTGTAGAAGTCCTACCTCCCTTTGACTTTCCAAAGTGCAACCCTTCACACGCATTTGTATTGAATTACGTTTGCCATACCTCAGCCCACTTCCCCATCTGATTAAGATACGTCTGTAATTTTTGAAAATCTTCCTCATTATCAATGATACCTCCAAATTTTATATCATCTGCTAACTGACTAATCATGCCTTGTACATTCACCTTCAGATCATTTATGTAAATAACAAATTACAAAGGTCCCAGCATCGACCCCTGTGGCACACCACTAGTTACAAGCATCCAGTTCAAGAAACAACCTTCATCATTTACCCTCTGCTTCCTAGCATTGAGCCAATTTTGAAAACAATTAGCTAGCTTTCCATGGATCCCATCTACCAAACCTTTAAGACTATCTTGTCATGTGGGATCTTGTCAAAGGCCTTACTAAAATCCATGTATAGACAACGTCCACTGCAATAGCCTCATCTACCCTCTAGTTTACCTCTTCAAAAACTCCAGAAGAGCTGTCAAACATGACTTCCCACGCACAAATCCATGCTGACTACACTTAATCAGGCCTTGACTATCCAAATGTTGGTTGATCCTATCCTTCAGTATCTTCTCCAATACATTGCCTACCATTGATGTCAGGCTTACCGGCTTGTAGTTCCATGGCTTGTCTTTGCTACCTTTCTTAAACAATGGAACAACATCAGCCACACTCCAGTCTTCTGGAACTTCACCAGTAGCTAAAGATGAAACAAAAATTGCTGTAGGGGCCTCTGCAATTACTTCCCTAGCCTCCCACAACATTCGGGGATTGACTTTGATCAGGTCCAGTGGGTTTAGTCATCTTAATGTGCTTTAAGGCAGTATCTGATATTATGTAAACCATGATGTCCAAACTTGTTTCTCTTACTTCCTTAGCATCCACGATTCTCTCCTCAGTAAACACTGAAGAGAAATATTCATTAAAAAAATCTCCGCCATCTCCTGCAGCTCCACACATAGACGGCCATGTTGTTCTTTAAAGGGACCTATTCTCTCCTTAGCCACTCTTTTACTCTTAGTAGAGCTATAGAATCTCTTGGAGATATCGTTAACCTTACCTGCCAGATTCATCTTATTCCCTCATTTTGCTCTTCTGATTTCCCTCTTAAGGGTGGTCCTACACTTTGTATCGTCACCTTGAGCTCGATAGCTTAAACCTAATGTATGTCTGGTCTTTTTCCTAACCAGAGCCTCAATATCCCTCGTCAGGCAGGAATCCCTGAACCTGCCAGGTTTTCCCTTCAGCTTAACAGGGATATACCATCACCACGCTCTTGATATCACACTTTTAACAGCCTCTTATTTGCCAGTCATTCCTTTTCCTTCAATAAGACTCACCCAATTGACGTCCACTAGATCCTGCCTAATGGCTGCAAAATTGGCCCTGCTCCAGTTCAAGACCTTAACCTGCGACCTGTCATATTTTTTTTCCATGACTATGTTAAAACTAAGCCAGCTATGGTCACTGCTCTCTGGCTAACACTTCAGTCACTTGCCCGACCTCATTTCCTGAGAGAAAGTCCAGTGTTGCACCCTCCCAAGTACGGCTCTCTACATATTGATTTAGGAAACTTTCTTGGACACATTTGACAAATTCTACCCCGTCCGGGCCTTTTACTCTGCGTGCCCCAGTCAATACAAGGGAAATTAAAATCACCAACCAATACCATTCTATTATTCCTACAGGTATCTGCAATCTCTCTACACATCTGCTCCTCTAGTACCCACTGACAATTTGGTGGTCTATATTAAGTCCCAACAGAATGATCATCCCCTTCTTGTTTTTAAGTTCTAACCATATGGCCTCGTTTGATGACTCCTTAACAATATCCTCTCTAAACACTGTTATTATGTCCTTCCTCATTAAAAGGGCAATTCGCCTTCCTCACTTACATGTACTTCTGTCATGCCTGTAGCATCTGTATCCTGGAATATTGAGCTGCCATTCCTGCCCTTCTCTCAGCCTTGTTTCTGTTATGGCTATAATGTTCCAGTCCCTAGAGTGAACTCATGCTCTGAACTCATCTGCCTTACCAGTCAGGCTTCGTGCATTGAAATAAATGCACTTTAAACCAAAAGTCTTTTCCCTTCCTTCCCTGTGCCCCTGGCTATCCTGAATATTAAGTATGCTCTCGATGGCTAATACATTTCCCCTGACTTCTCGATGGCCCTTCTCTTATTAAGAGCCCCACCCCCTGCCAAGCTAGCTTATTTCTCCCAGGTAATGCTGGCAAATCTCTCTGTGAGTCTATTTGACCCTCTCCGCTACAAGTGCAACCCGTCCCTCTTTAACAGTTCACCTCCGCCCTAGAATGATCCAAGAACTGAAAATCCTGTCCCCTACACCAGCCCTTCAGTCATGCATCTATTTCTATCCACACTGGTGCGTGGCACTAGGAGTAATCCAGAGATCATTACCCTTGATGCCCTCCTTTTTAAACTTCTTACCTAACTCCCTATACACATTTTGTCGGACCCCATCCCTTTGTCTCCATACGTCATTTGTACTGATGTGCACAATGATCTCTGGGTGTTCACCCCTCCCCTTTAGAATGTTCTGCAGCCGCCCAGAGATATCCTTAACCCTGGCACCCAGGATGCAACACACCATCCTAGTGTCTCTTCTGCAGCCACAGACTCTCTTATCTGTCCCCTCACAACTGAGTCTCC